AATTTTCCCAAATCAACATAGAATGTTTACTACTACTAATATATAGTTAGGGGATATTTTCCAGTCATGCAAAAATATATCTTGCGTGTATGCGCATTGGGTATACAAAGAGAAGCCACAGTTTGTTTTATTGAAATAGTCTTTGCTAGTAACGTATCCACAATCTTGATGTACAAAAATAATTATACATATAAAACAGACTGATTAACTGACTAATTGGATAGAATATTCCTTGAGTACATAGTTTGGGACTCGGTAAGACAGCATTCTTTCAAATTCGATCCCTTTAGGAATACAAAAGGGTGTTAACATGACTGACAGATGATGTTAAAACAATCACATTCACGATTAAAAAGCACTAGAAACAACCCGAAATTTTTTATCTGACCGTGAAATTTAATTTCGGGTGCGAAACATGGACAGTGGGCGCGACGGAAAAGAAGTGTTCGAAATGTGGTGTTACAGGCGGATGATGAGGATACCGTGGATAGAGAAGGTTAGAAATGAAGAGGTATTAGAAAGAATAGGAGAACAGAGGACTCTATGGAAATCAATAAGAAATAGGCGAGATAGGTTAGTAGGACACCGTCTCAGGCATGAAGGTCTAGTCAAAGACATATCAGAGGCAGAAACGGAAGTTATGAGGAGTAGAGGTAGACCCAGATTAGATTACTGTTAGCTTTAGGGAAATGCGAAGATTAGCGCAGGATAGAAAAGAGTGGAGGTGCGTGTCTAACCAGTCTTAGGACTGATGACCTTATGATGATGAAGAAACTGAACCATCGTGGAATTTATTTTCACGAAATCCTAAATGGCCCAGGTGATTTTCCATCATCATCCTAAGGTCGTCAGTCCCGAGACTGGTTGGACTCACACCTCCACTCTTTCCTATCCTGACCTAATTTTCGCATTTCCCTAAAATTAGAACATCCCACATACTTAACTATTTGCCAACAATAATCTAATCTAGGTGTACCTCTACTCCTTTCAACTTCTGTTTCTGCCTCTAATATGTCTCATGCCTGAGAAGATTTCTTATTGACTTCCATAGAGTCCTCTCTTTACCTATTCTTTCAGGTGCCTCTTATCCTTATCCTCATCATTCACCTGTAACACCACATTTCGAACACTTCTAACCTTTTTATTGTCCATCCGTACAGCGCTGCGCTCCATACATACACCTTTAACAATCTTTTCCGAATTTCTAAATTAATCGTTCGCTAGAATAGAAGTGACTTCTTTTTATTGAAGACGACTCGACCCTGCGCTCTCCTCTGCTATATATCCCTACTACTCCTTCCGTCCTGATTCGTCTGACTTCCTAGATATCTAAAATCAGCCATTTATTCTAATAATTTTCCATAATCAAGACTTTTCCTTCAATGGAATGAATGTAATTCAAAAACGTACAACAAGCTCCGTGGCTCGTGAACTACATAAAGAATGCGAATAACTGTTCCAGTGCTCTTGAGACATATAGAGGCAAGATCTCTAGCCCGTAAACTCTTGATGGAATTCAATGCAATAAATTTAGTAATGTGCTCTTCCTTATTAAAATAAAGGCTACCCGTTTTATGAGAAACAGAAGATTTTCATATAATGTATAGAGGGTTTTCTTAGAACATAAATAAATCTTAAAAATATAATTTGTGACGTAATTTAAATCCAATCTGGCCTTAAAGTAGCCCCAGCTCTGGTTTTTTTAAGAGACTAAAAGGACAAAACAAACTGAGATGACCGCTCATGCATTTTTTTATTTCTGAATTTAAATCTGGCCTAGGAATTGCTCGAGTACATGGAGGTTGTAAAGTATCTCATTAACGATAATTTTGCTTACTTTATTTTGAAATTAATCTTAATATACATATACCCTAATTAAATCAAAACTAGTTCAAACTAGGTATCATATTAATGTCTCATTTGGAATAGTAATCAATGTTCAGTGTCTGGTTCGTCCAAAGCAAGTTCTTTTTCGACTAAATCGAAAAATAAGAAACAAGCAGTTTATCTACAGACGATTTCAACTAACAAAATATTAAGCACGAACGAATTTTGACGCAATGTTGAATATCAATTAGATCAGCTTACCAGTTTTGATTGATTATTGATCGTAAGATACGTTACTGGTGTGAAAAATACGAATTCGCTGAATGAACATCACAGAAGATTTTCGCAAGCTTTGAAAGACGCTAATATCGAAAGAATCAGTGAACTGAAAATCGTGTAATCGATCATTTACGTTAGATGCACCAGCATAAATAAAATGCAAGGACTTTACCTCAAATGTAAAAGATTTCTACGTACGATCGTCGACATTAGGTATATTGTATATCATTTAATTTTAATTGAAAGCTAATGTACGATTTTCCTCTATGAAAAATTTCTTGAAGTATTTCCACTCACGTGAACTTTTCTACTTTCTGATAAATATAGAAAATACACATAATAAGCACCATTATAATATTTTCTCTTTTGTGGTTTTATTTAAACATAGTTTGTCATGAAATCCTATGACATTGTTAGTTTCTTAATTGTGGATTAATATGCAATGCAACCCACTACAAACTACCTCAAAAGTACCTGTCACCTCTCGTAGCTTATTGGTTAGAGCATTGGTGCGTAAAGCCAAAGGTCCCGGGTTCGATTCCCGGCGGGGGTGTGACAACAACAACAATTTTTCCCTCATTAATTTGAGGTAGCGTGTAGTGGGTAAAAAATTCAGAAATGAATTTTCAGAATAATATNAATCCTATGACATTGTTAGTTGCTTAATAGTGGATTAATATACAATATTAATTTGAAATCATTTTTTCAATTTTTTATTTACCCATTACAAACTATCTCAAATTAAAGGGGGAAAAATTGTTGCTGTTGTCACACCCCCTTTGTCATATATTATTTCCATACCTAATAAACCTGGAGGTTTTCGCTTTAAATAGCACAATTTAAGGTAACACGATACCTTCTATTCAAGAGATGTTAAGGTAATAAGCTGTATGTGGTATCATTTTGGAAAAGGCTTTCACCAGAAAATTTATCGACAACAAACGATCTGCTTTCAGTTATTTATTATGTTAAGTTACCGTTTACATAAAAATAAGCGTATGTACATCAAGTCGTGTAAAACCCGTACTCATAAAGGTTTAACTGCATCATACGTTACATGAGTTACCGACGTACATGCATTTTATGGCTTTTGTGTTAAGGGTAGACATTTTTAACGACGAATGTTCTAAAGGACGTGTACCCCAGATCTGGTTGAAAACACTTTTCAGAACAAGTGGTCTTAAAATGCTTTTAACCAACGAAAATAAGCTGCATTTTTTTTCTAGAAATTCTAATTAAAAGTGGTTTTATAGGAAAATGATAAGGAACAAACGCAGTTTTCTAATACATCCGGAAATAATAGATTGTAAGAATTTGAAGGGAAATACTAATAAGTAGTGGAAATGAAACAAACGGCAAAGGAAATCGATGACGATACATAAAAAACTAATTAGAAATGAAAGTGCAAAGCAGAAACAAGAGCATTACTTAAAGAATTAATAAATAATTAAATAAAAGGGATAGGTGAAACTTTGAGAAAATACGAAAGAAAGAAAACAGATATAATTAGGAAAGAACGAATTCGAACAATACGCATTAAATAAGAAAGAGTATTAGGTATCTTCATATTATATATCCATTAATTTGACGAGAAATGTTTACCCAGTTATAAGAAACAAGTTTTCGGCAATTGTTAATTGCCACTGACAATTATCTCTACTTGTAAACTGCACTTAATTAAGTTAAAAAAAGATTTTATTGAATCGTAATGATTTTCGGCATTGGTACGAGCTTTTTTCAGGTAGGGAAGTAATAACATTACAATTTACAACCTAATTTAGCACAAGTGGCATGCTTTACTACATTCAGAAACATGGAAAAAACAATTTCTGTAATCGTTACCGAAACTATCTTTAGAAAATATTTGGACTCATCTAAAGATTTGCATAAGTAGTTCCAACACATCTTATCGTAGGTTAAAGATCAACAACTAACAAAAAGAGATCTCTTTGACAGTTAATTAACTTTAAAATAATAAAATTAATAAAAACAAGAAAAGAACTGTTATTATACCTTTTTTACCCTTTTACTTGGTTTAAGGACAATAGACAAACCATTTTTATTTTGTGCATTAATTTACATACGTATATAAAAAATGCAATACACTTGTGGACCACTGCAAACGCGTTTTTTAAAAAATATTTACATCACTGGCTTATAAAGTTCTTTTATATTTTTCCATTCAGATTTGTGATCTATCATTTACATTTCCTTTACTATCTATCGTCATAATACAACCAACGGGAACGACTTAAAATAAAGGTGTGTGAATTGCTTATTGCATGAACCCGGTATTGTTACCTGTTTTATAACAAGATTATGTACGCAGTAAAATATCAAATTTACCACAATAATACTTTATTTGGTTTAATTATTTATTACGCGCATCACAACTCATAATTCCTGAACTCTGTTACGAGCAACAGAATGTTATATTTTATTAAATCGGCGATAAACAATGACATTTACTGTTCATACTCCATTCGCATAAATTTTGCTACTGAATTCCGAGTAAATTTTCCATTAATTCTAAATTAGTTGGGTAATAAATTTTATGATTGTCAACATGAAATTTTAGAGAAACCGGCAATTAAAGACGAGGTAATAATATTATCATATCGATTTGTCTTCGAAGATCATGTTATAGTGATATGCTTACATAAATTAAAAGCATTAACTGATTTATTAACTTACAACGAAGATGATACATAAACATGAAATTTAGTAAAAGAAATTATGTTTTCAAAATTGTTATGATATCATAAATTGGTATTTGGCCTGTATTTTAATTTCATAACATGTAATAATGCATTAAAGAGAATCAAAAATTCCTATGCCAAAATTCGTTTAGCGTCCAAGTTGCTCCTTATCCTAAAAAGTTTGTGCACACATACCTTATGGATATAGCCAGAGGAAAACACTGTCATTCGATGTAGATTTACAGCATAAAGTTCTTTTCAGTTGCACCTTATAAACTATCCATCACAAGAATAACATTAAATTCATAATATAACATTGTTTTTGAGTTTTTGATAGCGAAAAACTGATAGCGTTTACTCATTACATTATTACGCGGTTTCGTATGTATAAGCAAGCAACAGAATACTTTCACTTTTAGACGTTGCCAGGACTACGAGGAAAATAGCACATGCGCATCGTATAACAGTCTTAAGCATCTTCCTAGCCTGAGTAATCTACAACTAAAGTTTGAACGTAACGATTATTCTAATATACTACAACAACAATAGAATGTATATAAGTATCATAAATTTAATAAAAAATATATACCTACTCATAAAAATACAAAATCAAAGTGATATTTGTGATATTGTCTGTACAGTGAAGAAAATTAAATGGACAACTCCGGTTAGTTCCTTTAAGAATTCCGGGAAAATTAAAAGATATTTTTGAATGGCGTTGTCTGTCTGTCAATGTATCAACACGATTCCAGTCATCAACAACTGGATTCGAACCCGAATGCGATTTTCACCATAGTGGGTAAATAGACATTTTTAATACTTATTTAAATGTTATTATGCATCTCTATTTACTGAAGTGATTGAAACAGATCAATTATAAAATTGCTTTAGTATAACTGGTATGATTTTTGCCCGTTTGTAAATGATTCATTTAAGAGAAAGCAAACAAAATTTTCCTGAAAAGACATAAGGAAAATTCATAACCGAAATTGAATCGAGTTATTTATCAAAAGTACATACAATAGAACAGTAGGGAAACAGGAATAATGTTATTATCCTAAATGTTATATAAGTTAGATGTTGGATTTCAAAGTGAATTGTCTATTTTGTACGCCGCACTGTGTCAGGGTTTGTCAGCATAAACTAGGACAATTTCCGTTAAAACCGATTCCGTCACAAAATTAATTATCACCACCAATGAACAAACAGATGCTAAACGAAATCCGCTAATCATGGTTATAACAGTATTTATTTACATTTACGCCATTGATCCAGTTCGTTTGTGTTGACACCTTGGGCCTAGAACGCACGGCAAAGGTTGTCGTATAATGTTTCACTCAGTCAAGTTTCATTAGATTTCACTACCACTTCCTTTCAAAATGACGGAGTCTCGGCTGGCTGGAAATAAGGGCGTATTTACCTTAATTGAATTAACTTCATAAAACGCCGACACCCCGGCGTCAGAAAGCGTCGTTAATGCCCCAATTTGGTAAACGACGACGTCTGTCATGTCACTCGGAAATGAATTAAAATGTACTCTAAGGAAACCTCACCATTACACTATTCATATTCGCTTTGATTCCGATTTTTGTCACGCATATTATTACAGATATTATTATTTTTTTAATACTGCACATGTATCATGTGTAATACTGCTATCAAGATTATAATAGATTTTCTACTGAGTTAATATCAGTTTTCCCATCGGTAAATATTATCGACAAGGCTGAATTATTTTTCATTTTTCGGGCTTCAAGTTTCGAAGATAAAGGAGCAGTAGCAGTGTTCCAGATATAAATCAAATTATATTAATATGTAGGTTAAAATTAATTAAGCAATGTCTAGACAGGATCTATTTATATTATATACCACTGTCCCTACCCCATTACATCTTCGTATCAATTTCGATTACCATTTCTATGTTTTTCTGAAATTTTTTATTTGGATACTGTCCAAAAATATACATTTTATGATATTATGTTATTAAAACTGTCTGGAACTATAGTCCTACCTTATGATTCCTTTACAACTTTATGGTAAAAATTCTTTATTATAAACAAAATCAACAGGGGTGCAAAGTTATTTTATTATTAAACCAACAACCGACGTTTCGCCCTTGGTTGTAGCTGCATCAGATAATATAATTATACCTAGATAATATAATTTATGTTTGTAGTTTTGATAAAGTCCTACTGCGAAGAGCGAAACGTCGGTTGTTGGTTTAATAATAAAACAACTTTTCACCCCTGTTATAACTTTAATTTATCGCATTTATATTAAGTAGTTGAAGAAATGGAAACTATTTATGGTCAAAATTCTCAGACAGCTTTCGTTGGGAGAATGAAACCAGTAGTACGTGAAAAAGTAAAACTTGAGCTTTTGAAAATATTAATTGATAAGGCCAAATTACGACAGTCTTTTTAGCAAAAAAAATGTGTTGTTACTTTTATACAGAAAGAGGAAATTTTGGATTGTTGTCTATATTTATCCATTTGAACAGGACATAAGTACGAGAAAACTGATGAAAGAATGAACGTTGAATCTATGAATTCTGTAAAAGTTCGATAAAATGTAATTGATCAGTCAAAGGTATATTATTTTCTTATTATTTATAAATCTAGCTAGGTAAGTATTGATCGGCTAAAAAAATAAAACTGTAAAGCAAAAATAAACACAACATACAAAATATGTTTTGATTATGGTCAAATCATACAACCCATTTGCAGGAAATATGAAAAGCGGATTTTCATATGGTTATACAAACAACTTAAACTGTCGAACTGATAAGATTATTTTTTAGATAGTCGAAAAAAAATGATAACTATAGAAGCTTCAGTGCTACTAACAAAACTTTTTTCGGAAGTGAGGATAATAACGCAGAAACAAAAATACGAACAGTTTAAGAAAAGTTAAAAGTTAATTCGTCCTGCCTTCCTTAAAATAAAAAAAGAAACTTATATTTTAGGCAAATAAAAATTACTGAGAATAAATGGAATTGAGTAGTTTTTACTTCACAATATTGTTAAAAAATTGTCTGATATTGGAATATTTAGGGTATCTAAGTATTGTGAAGCATCAGTTCCACTCACGCTTTAGGTAATTGGTTTTCTTCGATAATATGTGTGTCTATCCATATTCCAAATAGGCATAAGCACATGGACAGACAGACACACGAGTGACCCTATAAGGGTTCCGATTTTCATTCGGACGTGCGGAACCCTAAAAACTAAAACGCTAGGAGATTAAGTACAATATGACAAGTACAATTTCATTTACTGACACTATTAAAACGTATTGCTGGAGTAAATTAAATTCTCACTGAATAATAAAAAATATGTAGGTACATGTTATCCTCTTCCTGATTTAATAAAAGTTGCAGACAATACTGATGAGACATTTTCTTTTAAGAAAAATGTATATTTTCGAGTTTTTATTGTTTTTATGTTTTATCGATAACTAATTCCGTTTCCGTAAACATTAAATTAATACTGCAAGTTTGTGAAAAATTCAGTTGGAAAATACATCGAGCCACATCTTGTGGCTTGAAGCAGAAGCTCTCACTTTACTGTATAATTTTCCTTTCTCATACCGAATCCTTTAGAAAGCTTTATCCTGCAAAACTCATTGAAGTCACAGTAGATGTCGAACACACTGCAATAAATAATTATTAAATAAATAAAAGTCAATTTAAAAAAATATATAAACATCATCAAATACTCATTAAACCAATTATATTTGCTTTGAAAATAATATCCTTTAGCTTGACCGAGAAAATCCTTGATTGCCATTAGAAAAGTGAGGATTAAATTCAAATCTTTTATAACGCTAGGAAATAAATAGGTTTTTGTTATTTAACTGATTGAATTAAACAAAGACTCTCAATCATCATTATTTTGCCATTACCGTGTTTTCCCACAATGAATAAGTGACATCAAATCAGTCAAAGCTTAATATGAAGTGCTTATTTTTTATAAGTGATAAGACTACCTACTTATTTATATATCTTTTAATTTGTGATTTCTTCTTTACAAGAACTTTTTTTAATTAAAAAATTAACCTACCTGCAAGAAGAAATTATTTGTTTCTGTTATGGTAGTACAAATACAAATATACAACTATAAGTGGTCATTAAATAGTCAATAACATTATTATTAATAACAAAAATTAAGCGTATTAATTTACTTTTTATTAGGCAAAAGAAATATAAAAAAACTCTAACGTTAAGTTATAATAAGAAATATCAATTTTCATGTATACATAAACTTAAGAGTATACTCTCAAGTTCATCGACACAAATTCAAACAGCGAGAAAATGATAGCCCGGAGTGTGAACCTACAGGATTTTCGGGAACATTGTCCTCTAGAAGTGCTTTTCTTGTTTGATAGGCATTTGTTTCACTTCGAAAAAAGTTGTTTGATTAAGTTGACCCTTTATAATCACAACCCTTTGTAGTTATCTGATAAAACAATTTTTATGGCAAGAAATAGTAATTACATAGGTGCATAGTTTCTGTGGAGTGATTAACTAATAAACTAAAATTACCCCACTCAAATAAAGTGACGAGGATAACGTGGGTAGAAAAGGCTAGAAATGAAGAGGTATTAGAAAGAATAAGAGAACAGAGGACTCTATAGAAGTCAATGAAAAATAGGCGAGATAGGTTGGTAGGACACCTTCCTAGGCACGAAGGTCTAGTCAGGGACATATTAGAGGCAGAAACAGAAGTTAAGAGGGGTAGAGGTAGACCTAGGTTAGATTACTGTTCGCAAATAGTTAAGGATATATGCTGTTCTAGTTTTGGGGAAAGATTAGCTCAGGATAGGAAAGAGTGGAGGTACGTGTCCAACCAGTCTTAGAACTGATGACCTTATGATGATGATGACCCTACTCAAATTTTTTAAAGTTATGTATTAAGACATGAAGGCAAAGCCTGGGATTTATAACGCCATGTCGGTGTCTACATTGTCTGCCTATTAATAAAATAAAGCTTTACAGATACAATAAACACTTTCTGTTAAACCCTGTGCTTTATAAATAATAAAAAAATATTTTTCGTGCAATCAGAGGATATAAGTTTGAGTCCTTTTAATTTCAATTAGTCCATCGAATGAATTGTTGGTTTTCTCGACACAATCAGAAAACAGTCAAACCTGCATTTTTCTTTACATACCAAACTAATTACCAGGAAAACCCCCTGAACTGAAGCATAAAGTGATTAGCAAAGCAGGACCAAGACTAAGACTGTCTCAGTTTTTTTAGATGCTGAAATTTTCTGTCACACATGCGAGCTTGTCATGACTTTTAAAGAAAATAGTGTCGGTAGTTGTGAGTGTTATGAAAACTCAACAACTTACCCGTCTTCCAATGCATAAATTCACCCTTCCTCCAACTGTTTTCGCGAAAAGTTAGAAGTAAAAAATATCGAAAAGAAATTAGTTGTTTCTATGTATCAACCATCTGTTATCCAAACGTAGGAACAAAGAACACTCACCTACTCCGAGGACATTCTTCTAGATCCATTACTTCAGGCAGTGGTAAAGTTTCCTTTTTATATTTAGTGTTAAAATCTAGTAAAACAAATTGAAAATTTCAAATATAAAAAATGTTTTGTTTCAAGAAAAGAATAAGTTGCTTCAAATATTTAGTTTAAGTCATAAATCCACCGAAAGTAATAATTTTTTGTTTAGTCTTGCGTATTTCGTCCTGATCTTGCATATTCGGTTTTTGTTTTAGTCTTGGTTGTGTTCATTCGGTCATTCGGTCTTGTTTTTAGTTTTGGTCTTGTTCTTGCGGTGTTGGTTTTAGTCTTGGTCCTGTTCGTTCGCTCTTAGTCTTGATGTTGGTAGTATAAAGACAGCCTTGGTATTGAATTTTCGCAACACCAAGAACACTTTTACTCATCATTAGTTGAGTCGTCAAACTGAAATAGGAAGTGGCTCGTAATAGTTTACTGCCCAAAGATAAGATCATTATTTTCCTGCCTATAACTGAACAGAACATTACGAATTTTGTTCTTTATCAGGTTTGTAACGATATGAGATTTTGTAAAACGTTGTCGAACACTTGGAGTAACAAGAGATAACAATTTTCGGCGAAAGTTAGACCCAAAACATTTAATTTGTTTGAATTGTACATATCAATGCATTAAAAATATCTGCTCACTCTCGTTTATTATATCTGCATTTATCGACGAATATTGCGGTCTATTTTATCAAGTTCGTTGACACTTCTGCAGTTTCAAACGGTGAGAAAAGTGATAGCCCGCAGCGCGAACATTTACGAGTTCTAGGCAAAGCGGACACAAAAACAACTCTCCTTAGCCGTTGAGTAAATGTCTGATAAGAATCAACTCCAAACGAACAAAAAACTGGAAAGACCTCACCCCCTAATAGAAATTACGATCATGGGATAACTTTCGCCACAAAATTTACAAACCCTTGTTATCTACATACAATGTCAAGCAATTTTCACGGGAAAAATTGCATTCTAAAAATAGACATGAACGGTGTCCCTCTTTTTTTTTTCTTTGTTTTTAGAGCTTGAAAATGTTTCTCATATTTTCAGATTGATTAAAAATATTTTAAATGCCTGTAAGATTAAAAATAACCACTTAACATGAAAGGTACTTCCAGATTGGTCAATTTAGGTCTTTATTATTTTTAGCAAAGTCCTTTTAGGATTTGCAACAATATTATGTACTATATAATTATTACAGTAACGAAATAATAAGTAAAATTTGATTGAATCATGATAACGTATAACTATACTTGTCTCTACAGAAACTAAACGTTGCATTAAAGAATATGTCCTCTACAATATTCTTTACAGGACCTGAAGCATCACAGTGAACATTAACTTTCTTCAATACGCATTCGTTTAGAAATAGTTGGGAGCTAAAACCAAAAGAAAATTGTGTACAAATATGTTTATATCGATGATCGATTTTCATACTTGCAGTAACTTTTTATTTGATCTGCTTCTGCACTGGCAGCCTGTTTCTCTTTAATACACCTTCTAACCACTTCTAATTTATCTTCTACATCCCTTCTAATCATGTAGTTGGCAAATTCGAGTAAGCATTTTGCATTCATGTTCTGAAGGGCTGAAGCATGATAGTTAGTGTAATAATAAAACATTACTTTTTTATTTCAAGATCATTTACGAAAATAAGGATGATAATCTTTAATTCCTACTTACCATTTGGATATTGCAAATAGGGGTGCGCTACGCATATATAATCGGCCATTTTAGTGGTGGAATTGATGTGTAGTGAAAACAAGTCTTTACCATCATCTTCTTCACAAACTGAAAGTCTTTTGGAATAAGTTTTCAGACATGTATGTAAATTAGGTTGATAATTTCCACAAAATTGCCATGCATTAAAGGGATCGCTGAGACACATTGTAAAATTAAGGAAGTTTTCCTAAAATTAAAATGAAATAAATTTTGTTTAATTGCTTCTTGTTGTCGTTATTATAAGAAAATGATAATCCAACTTCAACTATTCGCAACAAAGTGAATACTTACCTCAAATTTTCGCCAAGTATCCTCTCCTTTATTTTTAACACAATGTTCTTTTAATTTCTCAGTTGACACATTCTTCGCCTTTAATTGTTTATATTCAAAAGCCACCAATTTATCACTATTAGTATCTTCCAGTAATGTTAATGTGTATTGGTAAATTCGATACGGAATTAAAAGTAAATGGAAAGGTTGATGGGCAGCGGTTGAAGCTGAAAATAAAATAACGCGTATATTTTATCAATACTTTTGAATAAAAATGTCTTACCTATAAGTCCGAAAATCAACAATAAAACTAGCGCTTTCATCTTGAAAACTGTGGTATTTTGTTGTAAATGGTAAAGACTGGTTCTTCTTTTATCAGAGAGAACACAGCAAATAATACTGCGATACAATACTTAATTGTTTTCAAACGATCCTACACATTATCATAAATGGTAAATAATAACACTAAACAACAGTTCTGTATTAAATGGTAATTTATTTCTCGAAATATGTGTATGTAAATATATTTATTGTTATGTAATTTATTATGGTTATCATGTTTATACATATTTCCTAAGGGAAAAAGATTTTAGTTTTAGGTTTAACCAGAAATTTGCTTCTAAAGATGATACACAACCTCAGAGAAAAATTGAACTTGTTACAACTCTGAAAGTTTTGCTGATAAGAATTCTTCTACATAATTTTCTTCTTCCGCTGTCACTAGCTTTAAAATATATGTACAGAATTTTATCGCATACGTAATAAATAAAATGAATTTTATGTCTCTTCATCAAAAAACAAAAAGCAATTTCGAACAAAACTATAATTACTATGAACTATTATATTGGTATATAAAAGAAGAGTTATTGTATTACATCTAAAAATATACATAATTTATTCTTTCCGTGATTACTTAAATTCTTACATTAATACCTTGAAAGGAAATTGGATAGTTACTTGTATTTTGATGATAAATAAAAATAGAGCAATTGATAGGTACATGTTATTTTTAGTTGACCAAATCTGATTTAGTTTTTATATTAACTTTTACGAATACATCTCATCGTCTTGTCAGTTGTTTTTGTAGGATTCTATTCCAAATTTGGTGAGTAAACCATCTAACTTGTTAATGAAAATTATTACATTACTCTACTGTAACATTAGACAAATTTTCTCTAATAAATCATCAATTGACGAACACGTGAAGGAAGTATACATTTCAAAGTAAAAAATGGGCAACTATGGTGTGATAAATAATAAAAAAAAATGTGACATCCCAAATGACAACTAAAACTTTCTTAACACGTGTATCGTCTCTTCGAACGTGAGCATTATCAACGTGATACAAACAGTCGTGAAATCAAATTGAACTATGTACGTCAACAACTAATTTATAGCAAACTTACTCGGTATAATGCTTATGATAAGTGTCCTTAATATAGCCAAGTTTGATATGAATCGGTTATAACGAGCGATTGGATACAGCGGACACGTACTCATGAAAATTCATTTATTGTAAAACAAAAAATAATAAAACTTATACTTTATTTATTTTGTGAAAAATGCTTCTCAATTACTTCAGATGAATAAGCGCCATTGCTTCTTATAAAACACTCTGTATATAAGAGTAACGTAGATGGCCGATTTTGCCTTGCGTTACGTTCATTCAGGAATGCGTCCAGCGCGTCGAGGCGCTATAACTTTACGCGTCGCTTTTGTTGCTGTTCAAGACACGCTCGACGTTGTGAAAAGTTTAGTTCAGTGTTCCGTTGCACCGGCTGCCTCCTACAACGCGAAAAACTCTTAATTGTGGTCAATATTAAGACAAATACCCAGTGATTGTACGTTAAATTGGCAAAAATAACCATTCTTCTGATGTGTAAATATTTGCTACTGATTAACACTACACTTATATGGGTAGGTTTTTCATGTTTTAAAATTTCTCCAATAGGTAATATTCAAAATTTTGATTATTAAGTATGAAGCTGAAGAAAAGATACATTATTTCAGTTAGTATAAAATTATTAAAAAAAAGGCATATTAAAACGAAATCGATAAACTCTGTTTATGATCTTAAAGTTTTTAACATAGCAATAAAGTTTTCCAATGTTTTCACCATGAATCCAATATTGGGATTAAAGCCAAATAAATACTTAAGCAATCAGGTTATTGATATATAGCCTCATTTGTATTTTTAAAGATTAAGTCCTTTAGAAACAGATGATTTGATTTTTTTTATCAGAGTCCGATCTGGAGCAAATCATCATCACCTATAACGTTTATGTTAGTTCTTACTTTCCTGACAATTCTGAAGTCATCCCGGACCGATACGTTCACAATAGGCTATATAACAGGATCTCAAAGGAAAAGAGGCGATCTGGAATACTCCAGACCGGGTCTTATGATATCTGGAGCGATTTCGCTAGCTGTAGAGGAAGTTAATAAAGGAATTCTTGGGCAAAGAGGTCATCGACTTGACTTTATCGTTGCTGAGACATTTGGCGAAGAAGTGATCAGCGTCCAAAGGACTGCTGAGCTATGGACGAAAAATGTGTCGGCTTATATTGGGCCGCAAGAAACTTGTACTCATGAGGCTTATATGGCTGCAGCATTTAATTTACCCATGATTTCTTACGTAAGTAGTTAAGCAATAAAAATATCGTGGATATTTTGGATTAAGGAATAGTACAGGTGACCATTTTTCACAACGACTTGCACACATTTTCAGCAAAAATCTAAGTAATGAATTTTAGAGATATTTGGGAGTGTAGATTTATATGTCAGAGAAATATTAAAAAAACAATTCACACATCGATTATAGTCTGCCACTCTAAATGTTTCATGTGAGTATTTTGTTACTTTGGAAAAGTCTGCAGAACATAAAATTTTAAGGCTTTTGAGGAAACTTCTCCAAATAGCGTCGCTTTTCAACTTGTAGACATATTATACAATTCGAAATCGAATAAATTTTATTACCAAATTATTTTTACACTCAAAATTTAAATATTGTTTCTTATTAATAAATAAAAATATCGAATATCTACTCATAAAAAATTGAACAGATGCGCCTTTTCACGAAAAACTCCTTTTGTTAGGTCCTATTAATTCACTGTAACAAATGACTGTTTTTATAGTAGTAGTTTCGGATTTGTTTAGGTGAACTGTCAAAAAAAGAGGAAAAAGTAGTCCCGGACGCGTTATGTCGTTGTCACACGTTAAGAGAGAAAATTAAAATGAAAATGACATTGTCAACAACGAGACAGTTGACGGCGATAGTTATGTATGCATATTGTTCTTACTTTGCTTGCTGCGATCCGATGTTTTTTTGGCAACATAAATATAGATTACCGTTTAAATAATTTTTTCGAAATAAGACAAATGTTCCTTCGAACAATAGAATATGTATCTATGCTGGAAATTTTCATAGAGAGCGGAAGTAAAAGTTAACAAAAAAAAGCATATGTAGCCATGTTTTTGAACATTTAACTTTAATCAATCCAAATAATATGTTCACGGACAGGCGTCTAAAATGGGATTTCGGCTTAAGACAATATATTTATTTAATCGGTCGTAGAACTTGTATTGCTGTGAAAATCTTATGTGATTGATGTTGCCACAAAATATACTAACAAAGTTATATACTGGACAAGAATCGATGAAATATTTTTTGTAATAATTCCTTGAGTTACGCCGACATATTGGTGATGTCAGTCAGTATGATGAATTAAAGAATAATTTATTTATACAGCTTTAATTATATAATTTTGTAATTAAATACCTAAGTACTGTTCGTTTCAAGAAGTTAGAAATATGCCCCTTCCCTTCATTAGGATGCGCCGTAACATAATTCCAAATTCAATGATATTTGTCTGCGGAGCTCATTTCTCCACCGATCATCGAGCGAGAACTAGACAAAAGTGTACAGTACCACTTGCAAAATTATTTAAACTGCCTCGTTAAAATTTAAGAATATGCTTTATTTAAAAGCATATTTAGCCAAAAATAATAACAAGTGAATTAACTTAACGTTCTACACACCNCCCTATAGCCTTATAATGTTTATACAACGAATAATTAAAGAATAACAAATTACACATTCATTGCTTTGCTTGCTTTCTCATAATTTTTTCGATTATGTGTTGTGCTTGTTCTTCTTTTTAAATGAATACCTAGCGTTTCGGCAGTTTTCTTGTCTTCTTCGTGAAATCTCATCAGAAGATATCAGCCATGATTGTGGGCCGCGAGTTCTCCAAATACGCCACAAAATGTGGTGTAATTATTGTTCGATGATCTACAATTTAGAGTTACACAAAGAACCTTTTAGATGCGTACCTATACATACATATTTACATAACGCGTTTATAGAACTTAAAGAGACGTAGGTGCGTTTACGCAAACAAAAGAAAAATAAAAACAGTCGACTACGCGACCACTTCAATCTTTCCGATGCATTCGGTCGAGTTTGTACATTGAACAAGTGGAGCATAAGTTTTGGGTGCAGAAGAATGACTCAACTTTTTATTTGGACAGTAGTAGTTAGTTGCAACAGCGCCTCGTGTAAATAAGGTTGATCATTGTTTTACCAGAGCCTACTTATCGAAATACTTCCTTTTGTTGTTGTTTCTTGTATTCCTGTCAATCAAAATGTTTTCAATCGATCGTGAGAGATTGTAATAGTAATTGAAGTGCTGGTTTGATGGTTACGAAGACAGATGTTGTTGGAACAAATATAAAGGAAGGCTTCCTTCTTATAAGTATAAAACATGGTCAAATATTCTTCTTATTACATACTTATCTGGTGTTCGATTTAATAAGAGGTCAAGCTTCCGGGAATTCAACTAATGTTGTTCTTTTGATAGGTTAATCAATTCCGTAATATTACATTCATCACATTGTAATTGTACTTGTTTCTATGTAATATTCTACTTTCAGATAGTAAAATTTGTTGATACTGTTGATTAATTTAATACATAGATTTTAAGAAGTTCAGGAATTGTGAAGTTGGAGCCTCTCGAAGTTCAACCTTTCAGTAGAAGTAAACTGTTCATGTGTCCATTGACGTAATTCACTATATGTTTTATTAAATTAAATTTTATTAAATTTGCCTTTAAGAATTCGTAAGTCTTTGTAGTAATGTCTTTAATGTTCGATAGTTATTCAATATCAACTAAAATACCTAGTAAATTTATTTATGCTGGGATTTTACTTTTACAAATTCGGGTCCAAATAGTAATTTTTATTATTTTCGCTTACGAAGCAACGGGCAAGTGGGATAAATTGTAAATATCGCTTTAATATTTAGGTAAATTTTCGTTTTTCATTTTCTCCGTGTACCAACGCAGAAGTGACAAGCTGTGCTTAGGATCGTAGGTTACATAGTTTTGTTAAACATTTAGAGGTAAGGACAGCGAACGTCATTATTTCACATGTCCTGTAAATTTGCAGGTTTTGGGATAGCGTTGGCGTCAGGATGTTTTCTCTAAACAGTAGCAGCAACCCCTAGTAAAAAGCTTACCTTGATATTGTGACAATGTAGTGAAAGCAATACCTCACTATTTTCTCCAATAGCCATGTAGGGTTAGCGTATGTAAAAGCTAATTTTGTACAGTGCATAACATACGTTCTACATTGTTTCCCCTATTCTAATAAGAGACAGTACCTATGTCGTTGAATAGTTAATCCGCATGCAATCTACGAATAGTGTTAAGTACTAAAGACAATTTATCTTTAAATGAATAAACTGTACAGAGTGTAATTACTTGTAATTCTTATTCAAAAACCATCTTTAACATTTCATTACCGATTACATTACACCTATCCCTACGCTGTTCTTATCAAAGTGGGGCGCCAATTGCCCACATGTTTTTGGATTAATTACATAGACATGCGTTAGTATTGAATACACCTGTGTGATGTCAACGACACCACTTAACATACCTAGTGTTCCGTTTTACAAAACAGGCGTACATATTTAAATTTTGATATATTTATTATTTATACCTACTCGTCTTCTGAAAATTATTTACTACTGATTAAAACAAACAGTAGAAATAATTTTAGATTGTATGTTTCGTAGTACCCCGTGTACGTACAAACACATTTATACTTGAACAAAATTTAAAGTACTATGTAGGTACATGCAAGTCAAAAACTTGGCTATTTCAGTACTTAGGACGCCATGTGAATGTCATAAATCTTTGCTCACTTTCTAATTGATATTCAGCTTAGATGAAAGAACGGAAAACGAACACGTGCTTTTACTACTTAAACTGTGCAATGTTCTTCCGTAAATGCAAGAAAACTAGGATCGCGTATCAATCGGTAACAGGTAACAGTAACGTACTACCCACAATATACCAATAAAAATGTTAAATAAGTACAATACTTGCAATAATTCATGTTTTGATTCAAATACGTAATTATCAGGTAACGATATTAATTCCTAATCGTAATAGATGAGCCAACGTCATTAGTGTTCTTAATCAATATTAAAGAGAATTAAATTAATGCCGGAATCTTTTGAAATTGTTTTAGTACAGTTTGAAGAATCATGTAATCATAATAGAATAAAGATTCGGGCTATAGGGTCGTGGTTTAAGTGAACTATTCTGTCCAGACGTTTCGTGGGCTACTGCTGCTGACATCTTCAGTGGTAGTCGCTGTCGAGACTTCGAGATACAATCTACGTTCACGTTGTCAACGCAGCACCACCACTGAGGATGTCAGCCGCAGTAGCCGACGAAACGTCTGGACGGAATAGTTCACTTAGACCACGGCCCTATAGACCGAATCTTCATTCTACAATGGATTCCGGCCGTGAAAGCCTTTGTTCTTATAATTATGTAATTATTAATATTCAAACTAATTTTCTAATTTAATAAAAGGTAGCTTTTCTCTAAAATAATAATTCACTAATCACAATTGGTACTATTTACAAAAATCTTTTTCTATTAGTTTCTACAAAGGCGTATACATGTGCCTGAATCGCGAACTAAAAAGCGATATTCCGTGGAAATCTAATTTAGAATGGTCTTAGGCCACTGGTTTTTGCAGTTGCAAGAAATTCCAAAGCATTAATTGCTTAATTGTTTAGTAAATTGGTGTTATTAAAGGAAAACAGTCAGAGATAATATTTGCCTTAATTCATTATAAATTATTAGTTTTTTCATGTCCTTGTTTCAGTTTTGTACCCATTATGAGACATCTGATAAGAAGAAGTTTCCAACTTTTGCAAGAACTAGACCACCAGACACTCAGATTTCGAAATCTGTAGTTTCCCTATTGACATATTTTGAATGGAAACACGTAAGTGGCTCAAGACTCCCATTTGATATTCATTTAGACAAAAGTGACATTTCTAGATATGATAAACCCTGGTTTATATAAAACTATTTTTTAGGGGTTTATTACATGGCTTGTCAAATCTTAGAAATATATTACTTCATTTTCTCACTTTGGCGATAGGCTTAACTAAGTATTTCTTTACATTGACTGAAAAAACTAGCTGAATTATTTCCTTCGATAAAGACGAAAGAGACAACAATGACGATTCTTGCTGTTTTAATGCTTTAATATATGTATATAGTTTTTGCCTTTTCGGTGGCGACTAAATAAAATAGAATAGAATACGAGCCTTTAAATTTCGATCTTCTGCAATAAACAACGGCCATTGAACTGAATGTTTCAGTCAACGAAGCAGAAGTAAGCCATTCACTAAAGTGTCATTTGCGTCTACTACTTTTCTTATTTCAATTTATTATTTTATTCGCTGTTCTCTTTCTAAACCTTATGGACTAGTGTGTTAAGGAAGGAATAATATGCGCACGATTATTTTTTCGTGAATATAGTGGACCATAAATTTTACTGACAGGTCGTTCTATTTTATCTCAACTCGACCGACTCGGAGTTTTCTAAAGTTGCAATGACGATGCTGGAATGGTTAGCATCTTCGGGCGTCAACGTTGCCCACACCAATTACTGGGACACACCGTATCATTATGGTTACACTGATAACCCTTTCTACAAATTGGTTAAACAGACGTATGAAAAAACTAGAAGTAAGTAACTGATACAAACACAAACTGCAGAAGAAGTAAGTCAAATAACAGGAAGGTATTCAAGGAGGTGGTCTAGAGGGTCTAAAAGTAAAATTTGCGATAGTCATCTTCATAAGGTCGTCAGTCCTAAGACTGGTTAGACACGCACCTCCACTCTTTGCTATCCTGAGCTCAACTTCGCATTTCCCTAAAATTAAAACATCCCAGATCCTTAACTATTTGCGAACAGTAATCTAACCTAGGTCTACCTCTACCCCTCCTAACTCCTGTTTCTGCCTCTAATATGCCTCTGACTAGACCTTCATACCTGAGAAGGTGTCCTACCAACCTATCTCGCCTATCTCTTATTGTCTTCCATAGAGTCCTCTGTTTCTCTCTCCTCTCTTTTAACCCTAACAACTAAAAACATGGACGCCCCTAAAACAATATTATTGCATTTACTTAAATAAAATAAAATGCTTCTAAAATTCTGAGAACTCATATTTATAATTTTCATTAAGTACAATTAAAACAATTGACGAATCAACTGTATTTTATTAATTACGTAAACGATTAAATAACTTTAACAAAAGTATTCCTAAAGTTTCTGGGTTTCAAACATTTGAAATTATAAAAGCCATAACAATAAATTTTATGGTAATATAATATGTTTTGTTATAAAAAAACATACATTGTTCTTAATTGCATTTTTGTTTAGTTTATGTCGTTGTGGGACATTACTACGAACACATGGGCCTTTTAATTGCTATGCAGCACATGGGTCTTCTTGATCAGGGTAGGTTGAAAAACTTGCATATTAATAACTTCTGTACGTAATTTAGATGCAAATACACAAAGCATTAGCCATTATTTTGCATGGCTAATTTGGCTGTTTTTTTTGTATAATACGTAATACAAAAGTAAGATCGTTTTTATAACTTTTAAACAATTAGCAAGTAAGTAATTTACGCTTATGCTCGAAAGTAAAAATCAAGGGAAGGTATCGTCGAAGTTTTTCCAGATTCTATTGTAAGATCTACAAGGGGAAAATTGGACGCGAGCTTCCGCTTCTTGAGGTTGTTTGACTTTTAGAGTTACAAAACAGAAACTAAACGCTGAAATTTCAATAGCGCTTAATAGTTTATTAATTAAACACAAAGACAATCAAATTCTAAACCATCACCCTATCTCTTAGAGATGTTTTACGACTGATACACGTTGTTTATGTCCAGTGCACGTACGGAAAGCTATTTCAGTTTCATAAATATCCTTTCGTTTTGTTGACAGGAGAATACTTCGTAATCGGAGTTGATATCGAACAGTACGATGAAAAATATCCCGAGAAATATTTAAAGGGTCTTCTCAAGGAAGATAAGGACCCCGCAGCTGAAAAAGCATTCCGATCTTACTTTGGAGTGTTTCCAAGTAGTCCCGTCGGTTTCGACAATTTTTCCACTCTAGTGAATGCTTATATGGAACGACCACCCTTTAACTACCCCAACCCACTTAATTATCTCGGAGGTGGCCGCAGGGTATCAAATTTTATTCTTACAATTCGAAAAATTCGAAAATTGTAATCAATAAAACAGTTTCAAAAATTTCAATTCGTGTTGAGGCGAATTGAAACCGAACATAGATATTACAAAGGGAGCAATCGTCCTTTGGTATTTACGACGTGGTACAGGAAAATTCGTACATTTTTATTCGTAGAATATAAAAAAAGGAAGAAACGATGTCAATGAAATGCGTAATTTCTATGTTCGGATATTATCTGTATAATATTTATGAATCCTTTTTCATAGACGTGCAAAACACGGTAATGACTGCATCATATTGTTTGGGTTTTTCCATTTCAAATAAAACCGCAGAAGAAGAAAAGAGGTCTCCAACTTTTTTCCTTTTTTTTTCCTCAGCAAATCCAGGCCGAAGCCGCTTATCTTTATGACGCCGTTCATTTATACGTCAGAGCTTTAATAAAAGCTTTGGATGCCGGAAAGAACCCAAGGAACGGGACTGAAATAATAAACTACATTAAGAAGAGTTATTATAAAAGTGCAATGGGGTAAAATCCGTTTTTTATTAATTTATAAACCTTATAGAAAATAGTAGTATTAAAATAATTCGAAATGGTCTGTATTCTGTAGAAACTGCCAGACG